CATTGCCTTGTGCTGTATTTATAGTGAGTTCTAATGGAAGCAGAAAAGAACTGACTTGCTTGAGATAAGCAAAGCAAACAGCCACCACTTCTCCAGTCAGTGAAAACCTGGGGCTGCTCTGGCAGCCTGTTCCCACCATCAAAACTGGCTCATCAGGAGGGATAGCCAAGAAGGGAGAGTTGTCCAAACTGGACCAAATTTGCTTGAGGTTTCACATCAGACAACTGAACTGATTTGTATGATCCTTTTATGAAGTGGAGGGTGAAGCATTGGCTGATAGGTCTCCCAGATTCACCAGGGAATCACTGTTTCATAGAATCATAGAATGGTTTGGCTTGGAAGGGACTTTTAATATCAATTAGTTCCAGCTCCCAGGAATTTCCAGGAAATTTTGAGCTTTTGGCTCTCCTTAAATTAAGTTAGTGATTTGGAGATGCTCTAGGAAGCAGGTATGATTAAATAAGATGCAACTTAATATGGTTGTAGCTGTTATAATATGAGAACATGGCCCAGACAGTGTTTGTAGACAGGTGAATGGTGGATTTTATTAGATTTACCTGGGGAAATAGGCAACCTGAAGACAGACATGTGCCCGAGAGCTCTCATCCCTTTTTCTAGCTCTGCTTGTTGATCTAATAAAATATATTGCTTCCACAAACCCCATCTTGCCTGCAATTAAATGAAATCCTTCCAGAATCATGCTGTGTGACAGATCTTTTCATTCATTTCAGACCCACTGCAGCTCCATCCAGTCCCTCTGCTCCACCATGGGAGCAGCAGTGTGTTGTGCCCCTTCCTTCTCCTTTTGTAGTAACTCTGCAATGATTTAATAGCAACACATTAATGAGGATTTGTGTGGCTGTGGAGTGAGGGGAAACTTATCTTTTGAACGTGTGAATTATGGAGTGTGTGGGTTAACAAAGTGAGAAAGAGCAAAGGTGTGTTCAGAGCTGCCATTGATGGAGGTAATGGCAATTGCAGATGATCAGCCTGACCTTTCCATCTCTCACTCCATACACTGCACTGCCCTTTGTGCTGGGTGGTGAAGAGGAAAATAAAATAGGCTAGAAAAACTTTCTAAGCTCAAAACTAGGATAAAAATGTCACATTTTGAGGCCATGGGGAAAAACGTTGCATGTGCTTTTTTAGAAAAAGCAGAAGTAAAAAAATTATGAAATAAAACTGGAGATATTAAGTAGTAACTTTCTGATTATGAAAATTGAAGTTATTTTCTTATAATTTTAATAATGTCTTCTTATAATTATCCTTTATCCCAGATGGAGCCTCACTATATTTTTTATTGATGGCTATATCTTTAAAATGAGTGGTTAGACGAACAAAACCAAACAATCAGTATGACTGACTTTTAAACCAAAAAAGTTTCTAAATCAGTGGAGTTTCTCATCCCACCCCCTGCCCCTGGTGAAGCCCATCCTGCACTGCCTGTCCAGGGGGAACACAAGCTGCCACATCTTGCCTAGCGCTGCCTGGGAGTGATCCCATCTGATCCACTGAGCTGGAATAGAGGAAAAAAAATACAGGATTTCAGTTTTTAGCACCATGAATCATACTTGCCTTTTGTAGCCAGGCTCTTTAGGCCAACTGCTGGCTATAGGATTCATGGTTAAATATAAAACCAGGGCTCCTGAAGCCATTAGTGCTTGTAAGTACCTGCAGGATAAGCCTGGGAATCCCAGTGTTGATCCAGATGGGCCACACTAGAGTGTCTCCCTCATCTATCTGTAGAATCTGAGAGTTTAAAAGTGAAACATCTATCAAAATCTCATTACTTTGGAGAGGATGGGAGCTCATGGATTATAAACCGTAATTTATTTTTTATATCTTAAATCATGGTGCCATATCTAAGGCATAAATTTTTGCAAAACAAACTGCTGAAGCATTTGGAAGGAGTTGAATAAACACTCCCAGCAGTGCTGCAGAGCAGTGCCAGAGGGAGCAGGCAGGTGCGTGGGGTGAGGATGGCAGAGAGGTGCTGATGGCACAGTGCTTTGGGAACTCCTACTCTTGTTGTTTTTGCAATTGGAGGCTTGTATTTACTCAGAGGAGAGGAGAGAAGGTTAATGCTATCAGTTTCTGGGAATACAGGCACTCCCCAGTGACTGAAAGAGAATATTCCTGGATCCCCCAAAGACCATAATTTCAGTCCCAAGTGTCTGCTAGCAGAAAGACATGCCTGTCTGCCTTCAGTTTAATATCATCACAGAGGGCTGATTTATTTTATGGTGTTAACCCTCCTGACAGCCTTCGAGCTTGTGCTCTGTAGGGTTTGCTTGGTGGTGTAGGCTGAATGGGTATCAGTGTACAAGGCAGCATTTTAAGTTGAGCAGCACTAAGCAGCCTGATCCTGCAAATCTAGGATCATGCAGCTTGTTTCAGAGATTCATCTTGCCAAGTTTTGTGTGTCATTTAAGGAGAAGTCTTTCCCATAGAGACAAAATGCATTCGGGAGTGACAGTGATGAGCTCCTGAACCCTTGTTAGATAATGCCCTTACCTCCTGGGACAGGGCCCAAAGGATTTATTCAGTCCTATCATCTGTGGGAGGTGGGGGATGTTGTGCTTTAGGCACAAGAAGGACAAAAAACCAAAAACTCTATCACAAATATGTGACAAGTAAAATGAAGTTAATACAGCCACAAAACTTGGGATGAGGGCAAGGGTAGGGGTCAAAACTGAATTCATGGCAACTTTATCAGATATATGGGTAATGAAGGACTGCTTCTGTAGTATTTTATTCTGTAATATTTTATTCTGCATTATTTTATTTTGTAATATTTTATTTTGTTCTTTATTTTATTCTGTAATATTTTATTTTGTTCTTTATTATTTTATTTCTGTGTTATTTTTGCCCCATTTCCACTGTTTGCCTACAACTGGACTCCTCCTCTACTACAGTCAGAATAGTGCTGATTCCAGAGATAAGAGACACAAAGTGAAGGTGATACAGACAGGCAATTATAAAAACATCTTCTTTGTTTCCTGGGGTGGACAGCCTTCCCCTGAAGGTCACTCTGACAATGTTCCAGGATGTACTTGTGGAGCTGGTGGCTGCTGCAGCAGGGGCCAAGCAGTGTAATCAGAGCTGACATCTGGGTGCTCTCTGTCAGGGCTTCAGGAAGCTTGTTTTGCTCTGAGATAGACCTGCTCTCACTGGGCAAGGGAAAAAGCCTGTGTGACTGTTAAAACAAGAGTGGAAAAAAGATGGATCTGGAATATGCATTGCTTTATCCTGCCAAGCCAAGTGTTTATTGTGGAGGCCAGACACATCTGTCCTTCTCCAGCAGATATGGTGTTTCTTGGATTAAAAAGGCTGACTGTAGTGGAGCAGTGGAAGAAATTGCTTCAGAAGGCTGACTTATTGGAGTCCTATATCACATGGACCCTGTCAGAAAAATATTAGCCACAATAAAGGCTGACACTCAGGGAGATGAAAGCAATATTGCTTGATACTGTGATTACCTTTATAGCAATGTGCTGAAGGTGAGCAGTGGGGAATTGAGTCCTTTCTTCATTTGACCTGCGTGGTCACTGTGATTACTTCAGGGACTTCTTTTTGTTTTATGTAATAAAACATCTGTAATAAAAGATTTTTTAAAAAATTAGTTTTGGGAAAGGAACTGGAGACATGGATTGCAGGCAGCTATTTGGGTCAAGGGGTTCAGTTTTTGCCAGGCTCCAGATGGAGATGAGAGGAGGACAGGGGCTGGAAGGGACTCTGAAGCTGAATCCATCTACACTGTACAAGCAATGAGAACAGCATCAATTTACTGAGCTGCACCTGATCCGAAGTTTGGCAAGAGAGGGATGGATGCAGGCATTATTCCCTGTGTGGGGTATTTCTGAGAATGCTGCTTGTGAATGTGGGTCTGCTCTGAAAGCTGCAGCAAGTGTGAATAGCAATGCTCATCACACTATCTCTGCATTTTCATGCCCTTGCAGATTTACTGGAAGATCTTGGGAAACTGCAGTGTTGGTGGAACAATTTAGTTATATCAAGGAAAAGGATTTTTTTTTGAAACTTGACAGAAGAAATAAAATTTACCTACTGAAGGTGCACAAGTTTCTTTTGGTGGAATGAGGCTGGAGGATATTTGCAGCCAGTGAATGTTCACTGAACACTCTGCACTGGAGGTTTATTTTTTTCAGTTAAAATCAAAATCTGTTGGCCTTTCCCTGTGCTTTTGGTTTGGACTCAGAAGATATTCTACTAGTTGCTGTAATTTTTTTCTAGAAAAGCAGATACCTTCTCTGTTCCTCTACAAAAGCTTTATGCCACAATAATTTAAGATTTCCTCCAGGTCAGAATATTTCTGCATGTAAAACTCTTTGAAGGTTTAAATAGATTGTAACTGAGTTTTGACATGTATTAGCACGTGTCAGGTACAGCAGTTATTAAGGGTAGAGGAGACAAGGCACATTCCATCTCTCCAGAGACTGACTTGCAGGTGTCCAGATCACTACAGGCCACGAGCAGGCAAAGCCCCTAAAAAAAAATCACCCTTTGTTACAACAAGCATTAAAAATGTCTTTTGCCACCCATTTCAGCAATAGGTCAGGTGAGGAATAAGCTCTAGTTGCTCTTACAAAATTGTGTCCCAGGATTATTACTGGGAAAATTGCCTTTTTATTTCTTCTAATGTAAATATTTTCTGTGCCTCTCTCTCTAAGGTTCTGCATTCACACAGAAGGTATTTCAAAATTATATTAAAGCATACATTTATATTAAAGCATGATGTACTTTATTCCTGGGTTCTGTCCTGTTCCTCTTCTTTTTATGAGTGGAATATGTCTGCATCCAAACAACTCATAACAGGGAAATTGTTTGATGGATTTTTATTTCTTTTTTTAATCCTTTAATTCCTTTCATTCATAAATCAGGAAGGAGTGTGATATGGAAAAGGAAATACTCAGGCCTGGGTACTTTTTAAATCAGAACAGGTTTGAGCAAAGCCAGCTGACTCCCTGCCCTTCTCTTCCCAGGGCACAGCGTCTGTCCTGCAGCGCAGGTCTGACAATGAGGAGTACGTCGAAGTTGGAAGACTCGGTCCATCAGATTATTTTGGTAAGAAAATTGAGCTGAGCATGGTTCAGAAAGACAGGCACGTCTGGGTCAAGTACTTATTGTCTTAATTAGTGTTCCACTCTTACATGCGAGGGGTTATGGGCAGGTCAGCCGCTGCTCTCAGCGATGCTCAGAGATTTCAGGGAAGCTGAATCCATTCCATGGTTTACACCAGTGTAGCTGACAGGAGACAGATCCAGAATCAGCAAAACAGTCTGAAAGCATTTGTTTTCAAAGGCATTTTACACACATGCATTATGCATGTGTAATGCATTTGTACTGTCAGCAGAATTATGTAAAGTGTCTATCAAGAGATACATAAAGGGAGATGTTGTACCAGCAGAGCAACGGGATGGTGGAATATGCACGCTGTGAAAGAGAGGAGGGTGTGTGGCAGTGTGCTGTCTCTGTTTCCAGGTGAGATAGCCTTGCTGCTCAACCGGCCCCGGGCAGCCACGGTGGTGGCACGAGGACCCCTCAAGTGCGTGAAGCTGGACCGGCCCCGCTTCGAGCGAGTGCTCGGCCCCTGCTCCGAGATCCTCAAGAGAAACATTCAGAGATACAACAGCTTCATTTCGCTCACTGTCTAAATGATTCCTCTGGAAAGCTGCCTTCATGTGACCTTGTGCACTTAAAATTTGCTCTGTGCAGCTCCACAGCTTTATGAAGAAAAAAAAAGAAGTGTGCATTTTATGTGTATTTTTTTCTGTTTATGTCACCTAGTGGATGTCAGCTCAAATTTCATGTATCATGGAAATGGAAGGATAACTATTTGGGTAAGACTAGCTTTGGGGAAGATTGGGGCTCTTTTGGGCTCTTGGCTTGCAGACAAGATTTTTACCTATTGTTGGTTCATATTGGTGAAAACTGTGGGTTCAACAATTTAAAATACATATGAATTTCTCTTTTCTTTATTATCTTTAAAGCTGGTCTTACCTTTTGTCAAGGTTCTTTGATCAAGTGATGTGAAAGATGTCCCTGCTCTTGGCAGGGGATTGGAAGGCAGTGGCCTTTCAGGTCCCTTCCAACCCAAACCAGTCTGTGATTCCTTGATACCTCTGCCTGTCACTTCTAAAAGACTTTTCACTGGTTACAGACTGGGGGGTTCCAAAATCCCATGGAATAAGTGGCAGTCTCATTGATGAGATGCAATTTAAAGGGGAAGGTTGGAGGAAGCTTTTGATCATTCCAGGGAAAAGTAAAGCTTTTGAGTGATTTTGTTTGTGGCTTAAATATAGGGTCCATATTCTTCCATGTCACAACCCCTCTTGGGTCTGCTTTGTAGGATATGCTCAGGCAAACAGCCTGCTCCAGTCTTCTGGGTGAAGAGGTCAAGGGACAATGTTTTGTAAGAATTCGAATGGAGTCTTTAGGACCTAAGTTACTTGTCCTCAACTTTTTTAAAATGAGGGTTTACATTAGAGTCCTTAGGAGTCCAGTGGGGGCTTCTCTGCTGAATTAAGTTGGCTTCAAAACTCAGCAGAATGTCCTCAGCCACTTCTCTGAGCATTACATAAAATGCTGAAGAGATGGTGCCAGGTGCACTTCAGGGAAAAATACAGCAGCTTGTTTTTAATAAGGTCCACTTAATGAAATTCAATGCCTTTCTTCTAGTATATGACTAAATTTTAGATTTTTTAAAAATTTTCTGAAAGCCAAATAAGTGCTTCAAAATGCTGCTTCTCCTCCAAAAGACAGGTATTGTGTAACAAAGAGCACCAGGATCCTGGAGCCCAGGTCCCTCCAGGGGCCTCATGGCCTTGCTGGCAGTCATTGCTGCCCTGCCTACTCATGGGGCTCCTCCTGAATGGAGCTTTTTGCAGATCTCTCAAGGCTGGGGATCTGCACAGCCCTCAAGGATGGGATCATTGGGACTGTGATTTGCAAAGCTTTACCTTTGCAGGTAAACTTGTCGTTGCCAGCAGCAGCAAAGCTCTGCATCTCAGCCATGCTAAACAGCACTGCCTGCCCTTCAGCTGGGCCAAAACTCCATTTCTTCTTTACAATAACATTCTTCTGAGTAAATACAAGCTTTCTGTACCTTTGACATGCCAAAGGTTAAGCAGTGAAATAAAACATCAATCTCCCTTTTGAAACTAGAGATGTAGCTGAACTTGGCTATATGGCTAAAATGAGTCCTACTGACAAACAATTGCTTTCTTTGGAATTAACAAATGCTAATTGGACATGTTCCTGTTGACTCCCACCAAGGGCCCAATATTCAAGTAGCTGCCTGCAGTGGTTCTCACAGAGCTAAAAAGCTTCTCAGCTTCATGCTCTTCTCATCACTTAAAGGTGCTTAATTTATTTTAGCATAATTTCAGTGGTCCTGTTAGTGTATATTCGTTGCTGCTATTTATTATGGTTACGTTATGCTTCTTGCACGTGTTATTAAATATGACCATTCACAGTTTCCAACCTTGCAATTTTTATCACGAACATTTATATAGGCAGACCTATTCTATATAGATATGTCAATGTATACACATTTGGTTATCTGCTGCACTGTTTTTGTATTCTCTTGTGCAATTTTTAAAAGAAATATTTTTAAATGTTACCAGTCACTCAAGTATGTTCTTTTACCTGTTGCATTTCTGTTGTGTTGGTAAAAAAATTGTGAGTGTTTCGCATAATATGCAGGACACATCTCTTGTCAAATACCAAGTATTAGCCTCATTGTTTAGAAGTTACTTGAGCACACAGACACACTGCAGATTCTTTGCTTTAAACCTTTACAGCTCATGGAAAATACATTTGAATTATGGTTCTGTTATAAGCAATCTCAAGAGAAATGTAACTGTCTAACACCAGGATTCCTGTGCTTTAAGTGGAACAAAATGATATTCAGTGACATTTTGAAGATAATTGTAATATTTGCAGTGGATGATGGGACAGGATTATGGTATGAATAAAATTCTTCTACGTTATAAGCGGCCATTGTGGGTTTATTGCTAATGGAAGTTTGTGTGAGTAGATGTCATGTTCCAGTTAAAATCTGTATATCATCAAGACTTTGAGCTCTACTGAAAATAATCAGATGCAAAGGGACAAAAAATAGACCAAGATTCCCAGTGCTATATATAGTAATGGAAACCAAACTGGTTTTGTGGAGGATTAGCATGAAGGAAAAAAAAATCATCTGTTTAAATGTAACCATATATGTCTACATAAAGAAATAGGGGTCCGATGTGTCTCTTGGGCCTTCCTGTTGTTGTGCAGGTGCCAGCTGTGAAACCCTCAGGACTGATGCTGAGCCTGTCATATGGCCTGGGATATACCTGGGGAAAAACAGGCTCTTTCCTTCTCAAATACCACTTCTGCTCCTTTCCCCCAGTATTACAGGCAAAGCCCATGGTCCCAACCACACCAGGGATCTGTCCCAGTCGTTCCTCTCAACTTTTGGACACACTTATTGATTTTTAGAACCGTGGCTGCCCTGGGACTGGAGCACAGCCCCATTTTTGGCACCAGGGATATACTGCTCTGCTTCCATGGCTTGTGTTCATGCCACGGGCTGGCCAGGAACTACACCAAGGACAAACTTCTCAGAGAAGGCAGAGCCTCCAAAGGAACCACCTGCACCTCATGCATCAAGGTGCAGACATGGGATAGAACTGGAGAGCTTGGCTTCTGGGTGATGAGGTGTTCCATGTGGTGTTAGTGTCACCCCACCACCAGAGCTCTGGGTGGCCACTTCAGTAGGTGTGTTATGGTCCAAGTTTGGCTCCAGAGCTAGAGCTGCCACCCCAGAGCAGAGGGCAGGGCCAGTGGCTCACTCCCTGCAGCTTCTGTGTGGTGGCCCCTGCACAGAAATCTTGGGTGGCTCCTGACATCCAAGGGCTGTGCAGCTTTCTGTTTTTGGAGTGTGTTATTTTTCCCCCCTTTGCTTCCCCTCTCCTTTTTAGGAGGGAAGGACTGGTCTTTCCAGAGAATTACTCACATTATGCAGTAATCAAAAGTGACCACTCTCTCTGAGGTCCTTCCAGATGGACATTACCAGCCCACGCTCCCCAGAAATGAGCATCCTACCCTCATTGACATTCCTTTTTTGGTTGGTTTTAATTGTATCACAGCCATTTCAGGACTCCTGAAACAAAAGAAAATACTTCTTTTTTTTTGAATAGAAACTAATTGCACCTCAGGTTTTTACAAGGCCATGTGGCTGACCAGGCTTTGGTGTGTGTATCACATTACTCTGGCTGGCTCAGGCACTCCCACTGCTTCGTGGCACTAAAGTGGTGCTAAAGTGGTGCCAAAGTCATGGAGTCACTGTGAACCCTGTGAATCCTTCCTTGATCATCAAGAAACCACAGGTTGACACCATGTTACCTGTTCAGGTGTTGGTGGGACACAAGAGCTGTTGGAGAACCAAGTAACTCCAGCTGGTTATTGGCTGCTGGGCTGTTTTCCTTGTAGTCAGTGGTCTTTGGAAGTGGAGTCACCACATAAAGTTTTAAGTCTTAAATGGTGCATAAATCCTTTCACTGTGCTATTTATGAGAGAAGTGTCCATTCTTTGCTCTCACTTCTGTAGAACAAAGAGAATATTATCCTGTGCAGCAGCAACACTATGATGACCTCCTCAAAGAGTAGGTGACTGAGAACCAACCAGCTTAAAGTCTCACAGTTGATATTCCAAAGACCAGTTCACTATGTAGAGACCAAATTATTCCCTCTCACATTGCCAGACATGTTTTTGTAACTTGCTTCCAATGATTTGGCAACTCTGACTGGAGCTTCAAGTGCACACGACTGCTCAGAAACTCGTAAGAGCATTTCCAGCCAGAGTCACTTCTGTAGGTCCCTCTTCCCTCTGGAGAAAGAGAGCATATTTGGATGGGAGCATATGTACAGCCTTGAAAATCTGATGTTACGGGAATACGTTGGCTTGGATGCTCCTCCTCCTCCAGGGATTTCTCTGTGGCTCTTTGCTGTTCTGCAGAGTTGTATCTGGGATGCAGCACACCACAACAAGCTGGCCTTTTCTCTCAAAACACTGCCTGGCCGAAGGAGCTGGCATCTGCAGCCATCTGGTATTTTTCTGAAGGCTGAGGATGTTTTTTGTGCTTGATCAGGCTCCAATACCAGAGTGATTCTTCTGATGTCTAAAAATCTGGATTGAGTTTGTAAAAAAGAGGCTGCACTTTGCCTGGGTAAGGAAAGCAAAGCATGAGCGTCTCCTTGGGCTGCTCTGACTCCTATCTCAGATGTACAAGGGTAACTTTTCCCTTCTGAGTGTGTCAGCTCCTCCCCAGCTGTGCTTTAATTCTTGTTTTCAAGTCATTCTCTGCACAAGTATCACAGACAGCCTCCACAGCCCAGACCAGCTGCAGCATACTTCCCATGCTCCTGTGCTTCAGCAATTTGAAGTGTGCAGTGTTCCCTTTAGAAAGCTGTGAGCTCCTATGGAGGAAAAAAAGAATCATTTTACCCTAGAAGAGTGCTCCTATTCCAGTATAAACTGCCTCCAAACGTGGAACAGTGGCGTGCCATGTTGCTGCATGGGCCAGCAGTGCTGAATGAATTGGCAGATGCTGTGCTGCTGTGTGATCTCTGGGAGCTGGGCTGTGAGAATGCTGCTCCTCTGCTCACAGCTTTGGTTCAAAGCTGAGAGAGCTGTTTTGCCAACAGTGCCCCCCACCCAAGCCCTGATGGGATAAATGGAGCCTTGTGCTGCCAAGA